TTGTCGCAGGTGTGCCGGCTGGCTTCTGGATAATCTTTTCAAATCCTTGAAGCTTCCATTTCTTCCACCCCATACCTGTCAAAAAAAAAAAAAAAAAAGAAATCGGAAAATGGCGAGGAGGAAACGAGAGGCGATTTCCTCCTTTCACAGTGGCGAGAAGGAAAGCGAGGGTCGGGTTCCTTCTCTCTGCCTGCGGGCCGGCCTTTAAAAGGGTATTGAAATCATTTTCAGGAGGTCACTTTTTATGTTATATTGTTTAGAAGGTGTTAGTTCCCACATCTAATAAGTGCTGCAATACGCGCAGATTCCGAATGATTTTATTATAATTTGTTTTGAAGAGAGTTTCAAAGGTGCACATTCGGATAAGACTCCTCTTATTCACGACGGCCGAAGCCATCGATTGCAACTCGCCGACAAGCGCTCTACATCGACCCCTTCACTTGGAAGAAAATTCTTTTCAGAAAGGGCATGTCGCGATCTTTGAACATGCTTTTAACCAGGCAACAAGCTACGCACAATTGTAAATTCAGTTTTTTTTTTTTTTTTTTTTTTTTTTTTTTTTAATGCTCAGAGCGTTTAGATCGAGTTGTCAACAGAAAAGGACGATCTCAGGATCGACTTCAGTGCCCATTTAAAATTTTTTTAATGTTCTGAATGTTTGGCTTCCTGTGGCTATACTATTCATGACATATAGTGAACTTCCTACAGATAAAAGAAAGAAAAAGGAGGTCAAGAACACGGAGGGATACGTGTCTTTCAACTCAAAACAAACATTTATTCAGGGGCATGCGTTCGCCCGCTCGCCGGCTCCCTATCCCGGAGAGGGGGAGGGACGGAAGGAGTTAGGGAAATCCGAATGAAGAATAGGAAAGAGGGGGGGACCGAAAGCGAAAATATACGAAAGGACCCGATAGGGGCAGGAGGAATGCGTTATCTGCCAAGGTCGCCAAATTGGAGAGCTCGGAGCGCAAGAACGCGATCTCTCGTTCGGAAAGAGTCAGCGAGGGAGAGGAAACGTTTACATCTGAGCCCTTTATGGCGTACGACTAAGCCTAACCTAACCTAACCTAACCTAACCTAACCTAACCTGTAAAACCCGAAGGCGCGCGTGTGCTCAAACTTGGGCGAACACCCACCGCACGCACGCCGATGCACGACGATCGGGTGCGCCGAGTCGTCCCCGGGCTCCACCACCTCTCTGGGATGCTCCTGCCGGCGGTCGTTGATACACCTGCCTGTCTGGCTAATGCATTCACCGCCACAGGTGAGTGGGATGGAGTAGACCCTCTCTTTTTTACCTGAGACGAACTGATGTCCGTGCATCTTAGAGCAGGACATTTCTAGGGGAGCGCAATTAACCATTTTACACAATTCTTTAAGTTTGACTTTGCAGCTGAACGCGACACCTACATCGAATCTCGACGCGAGCGCTTTAGCCGATGAGTTGTGTTGTGTGTATAAGGAATGACGGCCACCTTTCTTTTCCATCGTCTGGGTGCCGGTGTCGGAGTAGCAGGGGCGGAAATTAGCCTCTTGAGCGAGTTTTATAGCAGGTCGTCGGGAAAAGCCGGCCTTCCTCAACCTCTGCGTCTGCAGCCGGACACTATGCTCCCCGTAATTAGGGCAGCATCTAGAACGCGCTGACGTCAGAAGGGACTTGACGAGCCATAGCTTAACGATCGTGGAGTGAGCGCTTGCGAAAAGCTGAACTGGCTTTTCAGTCCTTTGCCTAAACTCCCAGCAGATTACCCCGGGACGGATCGCTAAACGAAGGTCCAAAAATTGGAAAGTTTTCCGTCAGGAGGAATCCTCCGTTTTAAAGACGAGATCCGCAGGGGCCCGACGAGAAAGCGCCCTTCACACAAATGCAACTGAGTAAGACCGAGAGAGACCAGACCGGTTTTTAAGCCTCTTGCGACGTCTTAGCACCAGCCCCGCTGCAGTTCATCCGGTCCTAAGAAGTCGCGAGGGGCTCAAAAACCGGTCTTGTCTCTCTCTCGGTCTTACTCGGTTGCATATGTGTGAACGCGCCTGAAGGCCTCCATGATTTTGTCAGGGTTTCTTTGTGTCAGGGTCTGTATGATTACGTAGTCACCTACATAACGATACACCCGGCAGCCCGTCGCGGAATCCTCCAGTCGCTCCTTGATCGCCCGATCTACGTACTTGACAAATACTTCACTCATAACCCGTGCAAGGTACGACCCGATGCACAGCCCCGGTCTCTGAATATAAACCTTACCCTGGTACTCTACTCAGGTTGAGCAGAGGTAACTAAATGCTCATAGCACATGCTCGGGAAGAGTTCCCGTCAGCTCTGGGGCCATCACAAGAGAAGAATGGAAGGAGAAATTTTCTTCTCACCGGGACTTTCCTTTGTATGTCCCAGGCTTCCCCAGACGTCGCTATTCTCGAATTATAGAAGATTAACTTTCACTCAACATTCATACAAAAGCAGCTTTCCCCCCTCTCTCCCCTCCGGTGGTTCGAAAGTACCAGCAGTACCAGCGAGCTCAGCTATAGCCGCCAGTGAATACAACCTATACGCACAAACAGCGCATCGGCTTAAAGCGCCCGCGTCAAGATTCGATCTAGGAGTGACGTTCAACTGCAAATTGAAACTCAGACAATTGTGTAAAATGGTTAATTGCACTTCCCTAAAAAATACTTGCTCTAGGATGCACGGGTACGTCCCATGTAAAAAAGAGAGGGTCTTCTCCACCCCGTTCATCTGCGGCGGAGGACACAGGCAGGTGTGTCAACGACCGCCTGCGGGAGCATTCCAGAGAGGTGGCGGAGCCCTGGGAGGACTCGGCGGCGGGGCATCCGATCATGGTTTCACGGGCTTGCGTGCGGGAGTGTTCGCCCAGGTTCGAGCACACGCCTGTCTAGCGGTTTCAGAGCCAGTTGTACGCCATAAAAGGCTCAGATGTAAACGTTTCCTCTACCTCGCTGACGCTCTCCGAACGAGAGATCGCGTTCTTGCGCCCCGACCTCTCAAGTTTGGGCTAGACGACCTTGGCGGATAACTCGTTCCACCTGCCCTATCAGGTCCTTCCGTATCTTTCCGCTTTCGCCCCCCCTCCTCCCTCCCCCCCCCCCTCTCCCCCGCCCTCTTCGCAATTCTTCCTTTGAATTTCCCTCACTCCTTCCGCTCCTCGCCCTCTCCAAGAGGGGGGGCCGGCAAGCGGGCGAACGATCGCGCCTGAATAAATGTTTGTTATGGGTTGAAGTATACGTACCCGTCTGTGATCTTGCCATCTTTGTGTGAATTCTTTGTTTTTTTAAGTCTACCAACACGTTCCTTACGTTCTAATTCTGCAGATTGCTTAGTTTTTCGGTTATCAGGTGCACTGATGGCACAGCCATTTGAATTTGAAAATATACGCTTGATATCATTAGCCTGTTCGATTTACCTGCGCCTCCGTCACCGGTGCAGAAAAGCGTGGGGCGGTATGCATCATCCACCCTTATCGCAATACACCTACCGGAACTGCACCGCCCTGCACTGTTCTGGACTGGTACAGGAGGTGCATGTAAATCGAAAGGGCGTACTGACACTCTGGCATTTTACCCTCGGGCCTGACTGGGATGTTTTGACAAAGAAGGCAATCGGATCTATATGGCCATTAGCCTAATTTACTTTTATACGGTTTTGATTTATAATACCTGTTTCAACAACATTGTGCATGTATGGCTGATTATGGAAGCTGTTGTAAATTATCGAACCAATCTTTGGAAAAGCTGGCGACTTATAGAAATTCAGATTAGATACTGAAATAATCCCGGCTGCAAAGCAAACCCAAAGTTTCATATGTGCGACAAAAATCTCCCAAATTGTACCAAAACACAGCAACGCCAATACAAATTACATACAAATTTAATATAAGGGTTAGGTTGTAAATTATTGTTAAGAAGTTTATTGGTTTCTGACTTCTTTTAGTTCAATTAGACAATTGCATCTCACAGGCAATTCAATCATATGTTTTCAGTATTGGAGAATTTTGGCCCAGCACTAGCACTGGTTTGCACGGGCATGGTAGCGCTCCGGGGGCGCTACCGTGCCCGTGGAAACCAGTGCTAGTGCAAGCCTCTCTTGCGGAGGCATGCAGCTCGGCGCATGACAATGCCGGAATATATGTTTAGACCAGAAAACGAAGACTGCGATGTAGCAATGCAAGCGTGACGATCTACGTTTCTTAATGCTACATCACAGACTTTATTTTTTTGGTCCAAACTTATGTTTAGGCATTGTCATTCGCTGAGCTGCCTCCACGAATTGCAGTGACTGGCTCTCCGAGTGTTCTGCGGAAAAGTAGACGCACGGGCTTTTTTTAGAGTGTACCATTCCCGTATGCTTGCAAGCGTAGCGCGAGCCCAAAGTAGCGCAGAGGCGGATCACGGTAGAGGTATGCTTAAATTCTATGTTACATAGTTTCAGCATACCGCATCCGTGATCCGCCACCGCGCTACCGTGAGCTCATACTAGACACAAAAGCACGCTCTTCAGCGCGAGCACCGTGGCCGCGGATCCCACGAATCGCGGTTTGCCAGAAATTTATACTATTTGGAACATGAAGGATCTCACGCGTTTTTTTATCGCAAAATAGTTGTTTTTTAATTCTTCGATACCCTTTACTAAGAGTTTTTCCAGAGCTATATTTTGTATTACCCTACGATGGACTACAAGCCAAAGCTACTGACCAGCAGGTCCAATGACAATATACTTTGAAACACGTAGTATATCGCTTGGACGTGAGGTTCGAATCAAAGCGATACACCTCGTCTTTTTATTTGCTCGTGATACGACCTCACGGCCCGTAGCTTTGGCTCGTAGTCCATCACAGGCTGAGCCGAAGTATAGCAATGTGCCTTACGTTAATTTGACTCTTTTAAGAAATTTTGGTGTTCTGCAGCAGGACAACTGCAGAACAGCAAAATGGTATCCCATGACCAAGTAAGCTTTGCATTCTGAAAAGTCTAAAAAAACGTTTCTCTAGCTTCCTTCAAGAAGGTTTTTCAAAAACTGGAAGTACTGCACGAAGAGGTGGGAGGCCTCCGCGAAGAAGTCATCCGCCTGAGAGAGGCTCATGCTGCAGCCCCTGCCGCTTCTCCACCCCCTCCTGTGCTACCGAAACTGCCCATGGAGACAGAGGAGGATGTTGCAGCCATGGAGGCCTTTCTGGCTGAAGAAAGCAATTTCGAATACATGGTTGGTTTACAGTTTTATTATAATGAATGGTACCTTCCAAAAGTAAGAGAATTAATCAAGGTTGAGTCATTTTCGAACCAATCGTTTCGGTTGTTTTATACCTAAGTAAATTGAGAAAACCCTTTATTAGTAAGGTTGAATTAAAAGAAAAAAAGTCGTCTTATAAATATACCAGATGTGTTTTTAGTCAGTTAAATTTTTTAGAAAAAGGGAGTGCGTTTTACGGAGACTGTTTTCACTCCGTGTTTATCGGGCTCGGCGGACATTAGGTAGTAAATTAATCGTCACCATCAAGCGACTAATTAACAAAAATGCGCTAAATACGTTTTAATTCAAATTTTTATGGCCCATGTTGCAATTACAATTCGAAGTCAACTACCACGTAAGGCTAAAGGACTCAGTTGAAATAAAAGCATCCTGCTTTAAAATATTTGTCGTCAATTTTCCCCTCTCTCAGCTAAAATTTCTCAACTGGACGCAAACTTTTTGTCCAGTTGAGGTCGAGATTGAACCTGGAAAAAGAGGTCGAGATTGAACCAGGGGCCGACCGGCGAGTGGCGTTAAGATATCTCGTTTCCTCCTCTCTTCGCTTCGCCCCCTCAAGGCGACGACGTGGAGAAGACGCGAGGCCGTTCTCTCTCCTTCTCGGAGAAACATGGCGTAAACATATATCTGTTGAATGCACCTCCTTTTTTTGACAAATACGGTCATCCGTTGGAGATAGCTGCATGAGTGATGTTTTGGTGTTTGTAGCATCCCGTTGCACGCTTTCGCCGCGTGTTTTGGGGAATCCAGATTTCGTTTCAGCATCCCTTTGACACGGCGACCGAAACCAAAAAGGATTGCATGTGACTCTAAAAATTCCCGTGTGTTCACTTTCCCACCACACACTTAATAGCCAATCACAACAATCTGTGGAGCGAGCTTGGTGAATCCTGGCGTCGAACGGGTGTTTAGGCCTAAATAAAGTCGGCGCTGGGACACTGAGCAACATGAAACGTCACGCTCAGTGTCCTAACGAAGACTTCATTTTTTAGTCTGAACACATGTTTGTCATCGTTATTCACCGAGAATGTCCCGCTGATTTCTGTGATTGGCTCTAAAGTGTTTCATGAGAAAGGAAAGCACGTGAATGTTTAGAGTGGAACTATGGCGACATATTTAGCAGAACGTATATGCGGTTTATCTTTTTTGGCGGTCGGAAATCATTTTTCCGCAATAAAACTCAAGTGTCTCTTTTCTTTTTGCTTTTGTCTTTTGTATATTATTGCCACAACCTCTGACACGTTGGCATATAATCCTAGTTTTGGTAAACTCTACATTTTATATAATGCGTATGTTTTGCTATATGAGCATTCCGATTCTAATTTGTGTCCCGTGACCTATACTTTGCATTCATTAAAAAATCTTTTCATGACACTTCTACTTGCAGGTCTCCCACCTCAAGAGCTTCGATGGCCCAACACTTGCCAAAAAGGCAAACGGAATGATGAGCAGTTTGTTCACATTAGAGTTAGCCGTAACCTACACCTACAAACGATCAACGGGCAAGCGCGTCTTCGAAGGGACGGCAGCCGAGAAGGCTGTTCGTCGTAAGTATTCCCACTAAATACTATTGAACGCAATGAATGTTAATTGGGAGTTTAAATCCTAATCATTATTTATAATTCTCTCCATGTGTATCAACCCATGAATACAAATTAAGAAAATTGTCACATATATCTAAGGGAATAAAATTCAAGTGTCACATTTTATCAGAGGTTAATGTCAGGTATGTAACCTGCTTATTAAAGCTATGTTGCTCTAAGTACCAAAGAAAAATATATGAATAGATAAGAAAAAAACGGCATAGCCATTAAAGTATTTAATTTTAGTAAGATCTTAAAACTCGGAACCTTATTTTTTTTTCTTGAAATGGTAGATATGATTTTGCTGCTTAATTGAGCATGCTTATTTGGTTTTAATATTGTTATGTAAGAAATGATATGTTGATTTAACTTTTTTTAGTTCCGAAGGAAAACCCTTACGTTGCTAGCTATTCCAAAAAAAAAAGTAATAAAAAGATTCTAAATTAAAATATTTTTTTTTGTATAGAATGAACATCTCCGATAGCTTTAAATGCAGCTGCATAGCTTTAAATGTAGACTTTAATCATAATGTCACAAAATGTGCTTACATTGTTTTCAGGCTGCAATGAATACACACTCCTCGCTGGGCTAGGTGTTAAAGGTATAGAAAAGGTAGTGCGTAGACCCAGCCGGGTGCTGTTTTTAGTTTTAAAACGGACGATACTTCTGTCACTATCAGGCAGAATAGAAAGTTTGAGAAGACACGGATGTCAAATTGTTTTTTTTTACACTCTTTTTCAGGCGCTGCAATGGAGAGTTTCCGAGGACTCGCGTCCAAGGAATACACGTTCCACCTCGGAAACCGATTCCGCAACGCGCGCGGCAACATGAAGAAGCAGGAAGACGCGTACGTAAAGAAAGCAATTTTCGGTCGAACATTTTTCAGATTCTGCCTTAAAATTTGATTGTCGCCTACACCGCTAACACTACATAAAACGAACAAAAAAACGAGCTTTTCGTGTAGTTCAATGCTAAATGAAACAATTACATTCAATGCACAACGTATGGATGAAATTTTTCTTATACATTTAGTATAAGAAAAATAAACAAAGCTTTAGGTCTGATTCACACAGCCGCCGCCGGAGCATGACGGCGGCGTCACATTGCGGCGAGAAACCGGCCCAAAAATTCTTTAAAATGACGAGAAAGACGTCGTTTTTAAAGTGGCGGTGCAACGATTTTATGATTAAAATCATCTGCATCTCGTCACTTTTACGTTGTTTATCGTGTCCCAGAGGATAGAGAAAACACTTCCTTCATTAAAAATGTCGCGATTCCGCTGCATAATCGCAAAGCAAAAGTCGAGCTTTTTCCCCCACCTGCAGCCCCAAGTAGCAGTCGAAGGAACTACGGCGGAAAGATTACGTGACCTCGCTCGGCTCTAAGCTGCAGCCTAGCGCCCGCTAATGTACGCAGAGAGACGGAGGGGAAGCGTCCTCCGAGATAGCACACGGGAAGCTACACGGCACTCCGAATGACGTCACTGGGAGTGCGACCAGGTGTGACCCTGAAGACTGGGAGTGAGTTGAGGGGTGCCCGAAATACCAATCTTTATCTTTTTTTTTTACGCAAAAACTAGGACACGCAGGCGAAATCGGTTTTCTGTTCTTTACTTCAGAAGTGTCAGGGGGCAACTTCCAGAAAGCTTTGATCGAAGTTCGAAAATCGTTGCACCGCCCCTTTAAATGACGCGGTGACCAAACGTCCGCTGTATGATTGAGGCAGTATGCGTTACAAACATGGACATCTGGATAACTGAATTCAAGAACTCACTTAAATGCTCTTACAAGTACCGTTAATTCGCTACACTCTAAAAAAAGCCTGTGCGTCTACTTTCTCGCGAAACACTGAGAGCCAATCAGCGCAACTCATGGAGGCAGCTCAGCGAATGACGATGCCGAAACATAAGTTTAGACCAAAAAACGCAGTCTGAGTTGTAGCATTAAGTAATGCAAGCGTGACGTTTTGCATTGCTTCATGCCAACTCAGGCTGCTTTTTTTTTTTTTTTTTTTTGTCTGGTTACGGTCTGCCTCCGTAAGTTGGGGTAATTGGCTCTCCGAGTGTTGTGCGGGAAACCACGTGCACGGGCTTTTTCTTAAAGTGTACATGGGGGCGTCATTATTTTTGGCTAGGAGCAGACATTTTTTTAAGAGGTCTTCAGGTGTAAACGGGCCGTAATCTATCCACTGTGGATTGAATGTAATTATGTGCATACAATATAAGTCGCAATATATAAGAACAAACAAAACTGCAGCAGGAGGAGAAGCTGTATCTTCTTTATTATTACTAATAAAATGCAAGCCTACATTCACGAGCCAACGTAGCTTAAATGGCCCATGAAACGAGTTTCGGGCTGGAATGAATCAATTTCTATTGGGATTTTGCTAATAGCACACATCTTTCAATGGGCCTAAAAAAAAAGGTAGAAAGTCAGAAGCCTGGCTTTCGGTACGAAAGTTTGAAAACACAACGGACTATTTCGTACCTCCTTCCCTTCGTAAGCTGTCTGCCTTTTCACTGTGATACATCCGCGGTCCCCCCAGCGCGTCACTGGGCCTCTGCAGCGCGTCACCGGGCCCAAGCGCACGTCACACGAAACCGGACCTTACTAATTCCCTTCATCCCTAAGCTGACATTGTGGTGGAAGCTACGCGCTTGCCGGACCAATCAGTCACCTCGCATTTATCATTTGACCCCATTCTCTGCGCGTGGGTATGCGCAAGAGAGCGTGATCACGTGGCAAAAGTGTGGCTGGCACGACGAGCACGTAGCTTCCACAGCACTGTCAGCTTTAGGGTGAACGGTGTGGGGAAAGCAACTTTTGTCTGAATTTTGAGCGACGGGGGAGAATGGCTGTGTCCGGGTACACAAACGAGAGTCCGAGCAAGAGGAGACTCCCCTCTTTCCGTCTTCTTGAACTCTTTGGTAGAATGCGCGATTTATGAGTTGACAAAGAAAGCTAAACAGGAAAAACGTGGAAGAGCGTTTCATGACTCCTTTAATGCACACGATGATGTGCCTCCAAGTTTTATAGTTGTGGGCTTTAGCAGTTCTTTATACCACCTGCGAAATTACAACGGTGTTTGCGGCATTTGCCCTAAATTGCCAATAATCAGTAGACTTGGTTCTGTACGTTGACATAAAATTACAGAAACAGAAACAAGATCCACTAGTGACCTTTTTATTCTCCAGTGGAGCATAAACAACAAGTATAAATACGTAATTCATTTTACAGGCAAGCACAATACCCGTGTTGATTTGATTGGTTTGCATTGATAGCCGATATTGCATCAGGTCTTTTTTTTTAATTTCAACTACTGTTTTGTTTGCTTTTTCAGGAGGATACTCAAGGGTGATTCCACGTCAATTCATGCAATGATGGTCCGGGTCATATTTTAGATAGTTTTGTTAAAAATATATATGAAAGCCATGTTTTTGGGAGGAACATTCAGCTAGATATGAACGCCGTAACAATTTTTTTCGCTGAGATATAAAATAGAGAAGCTTGAGGCGTGGAAATTGAGAAGATTTCACAATGCTACTTTGCACAGCCGTCATTTCCTGATCCAACCTTTCACGGCGCCCATAACTTTTTTAATAGGTTTTACAAAGGTTATACAACACATACATAAAATATTAAAAATATCCATAAAATATTTCAATGCAAACAAAAATATCAAACATTGCACAAAAACGCGTTTTAGAGACATATTCACAATTTTTTTGCAAATAAACCATCTTTCATAATGCTTCACAAAAGATATCAAAATGCGCGTATTTGAATATTCTTTACGAATATATAAAGATAATATGCCCTCCCTTAAACATATTTTTGTTATCAACGCGGAAATTCGGCTGATTTCTCAAAATGTGGCAAGATTGGGCGTCGATATTTAAAAAACTCCATCTTTTATTTTCTTTAAACTCCCCTTGGCACTTTGCAGTGACTTGAACTAACCTGTGATGACAAAAGATTGAGTAACATATGACCTCCAAGCGGGAAAAGCTACGACAAACCTTCACTCGGAGCGAGCCGACGTCTTCGTCATAGCGGCTTTGCCGCACAGCACCAAACGTTTTGAGGGTTAGTTATGGCATGTATTTTATATTATTTAATTTCTTTTTTTTTCATAAGGGCTGAGTATTAGTGACGCGAAAATGGACGTTGAGCTGGAATACCATTAATTAGCTTACAATTCACAGGAACAAAACAGCCCCACTGTGCGAATTCGCTAACTATGCATAGATAAGCTTAAAACTCTAAGTTATGCGAGTGGCCATGTATACATCCGGCCTCTCTTCATATGATGACTTCCACAGATGAGAAGCCTGGATTTCTCTCACAGGTTTTATGGTGGTCCACTCTGCTTGCTTTACAGCACGAAACTCTCGAACCCGTTCCACAGACAGGTGGAACATGCAGACATTTGTTACTTTTTTACGTAGCACTTCCACAAAGTCTTTAGCGGTGGCAATCGTTGAGTTGAGCGAAGATCTCAACTTGGTGAGCGTTGGTTCTTCCACCTACTTCATCACAAGCGCTTTCTCCGTGTCCAGTGGCTGAAAAGATCCATCTTGCCGAAGAGTGCGGCTTCCGAGACGATTCGTTGAATTGGAAGCGATTCTTGAAATTTCAAAAAAGACTGGGAAATGAACATTAACACACTCTTTTATGGCCTATGTGGCTAGAAGAGCGTGAGCTGTGTCATGTGTCGTGTACCATCGGTGACAACGGCAAAGCTTTGCGTGCCTTGCGTGGACGTAACCACACTTGTGGAGAGAGACACTTGAGTTTTTTTCAATGAAAACTCTGCACTTCGGTTGGAAAGAGTACTGTCCATTTTTCCGAAAATCGAAGTGGAACATCACTGCCTTGGGTGGTAAGGCGGTTCTTGTGTCATGTATCAGGCTTCGTTCAAGGTCAAGGATGTAAGAATGCCTCATATACTTTTCGCTCTCCTATTGCCGCAGGAAGGCAAAATAGTCCATAACCTTTTTGACGAGTTCGCCAGCGTCCCATAACGCGAAACAGATCTCTTCGTCTTCGTCGAGATGATGCGACTGCAGCGAGATGCTCTGCGTTTTTGGGCACTTTTCGCAACGGCGCAGAAAGCAATCGTTCTGTGGAGCGCAGAAGAGGTAGATGCGCTTGAGGTCGTCTTCAGTAAATGTCTTCTTTGGGGCATTTGTTATTGCCGTTAAAAGCAACTGAAAATTGACGCAATATATGCATGCGCACACCTCGTGCTCGGGACTTTTTTTTTTTTTTTTTACCCATTTTGGTCGTAGGGAATAAAGTTTGGAGATGCCTAGTTCGGGTTGGGGATGGTCCTTCCTAAACAGCTGGTAAGCTTCCTTAATAGAGCGGGTCATAAACCTTTTTACGACTTTGAGCATGTCGTTGATCATGGCTTTGACGACGTCCTTTTTGTCGGGGCTTTGAACAGAGCGTGCGAGGTCGTCACGTGTGTAGTACTCAATTGCAACCCCCACGTCTTCGGCTTTCCTTTTTTCCCCATGTAGGGATCCGGGGTTGCCCAAACACCACCTTTGCGCTTCAGTTTTCATGTTTGATCAATCATGTAGGCAGTCGCACCCGACACCAGACGCAATATTGCTTTTCTTCAGGATGATTGGTGGCAGAAGCACGTACAATCGCTTGCGTTCCTGGTGGGAACTACATGCCTTCAGCACTTCGCAAAACGCGTCAAACCACTCTGCTCAGTGCTCACAACTGTCTTCGAGTTCGAGAGTTTCGTGCGGTGAAGCAAGCAAAGTGGACCACCGTAAAACCTGTCAAAGGAATCCAGGAAACTCATCTGTGAAAGTCATCATATGCCGAGAGGCCAGATGTATACATGACCATTCGCGCAACTGAGAGTTTTAAGCTTTTGTATGTGCATAGGTAGCGAATTTGCAGAATGGGGCCGTTTTATTCCTGTGAATTCAAAGCTAATTAATGGTATTCCAGCTCAAAGTTCTTTTTCACGTCACTAATACTCACCGCCTATAAAAAAAGAATTTTAATAATATAAAATACATGCCATAACTAACGCCCAAACGTTTGGTGCTGTGCGGCAAAGCCGCGATGACGAAGACGTCGGCTCGCTCCGAGTGAAGGTTTGTCGTAGCTTTTCCCGCTTGGAGGTCATACGTTATTCAATCTTTTGCCATCACAGGTTAGTTCAAGTCACTGCAAAGTGCCAAGGGGAGTTTAAAGAAAATGAAATATGGAGTTTTTTAAATATCGATGCCCAATCTTGCCACATTTTGAGAAATCAGCCGAATTTCCGAGTTGATAACAAAAATATGTTTAAGGGTGGGCATATTATCTTTATATATTCGTAAAGAATATTTAAATACGCGCATTTTGATATGTTTTGTGAAGTATTAAAAAAGATGGTTTATTTGCAAAAAAATTGTGAATATGTCTCTAAAACGCGTTTTTGTGCCATGTTTGATATTTTTGTTTGCATTGAAATATTTTATGGATATTTTTAATTTTTTTATGTGCGTGGTGTTTAACCTTTGTAGAACCTAATAAAAAGTTGTGGTTCCGTGAAAGGTTCGATAAGGAAATGACGACTGTGCAAAGTAGCATTGTGAAATCTTCTCAATTTCCACGCTTCAAGCTTCTCTATTTTATATCTCAGCGAAAACAATTGTTACGGCGTTCATATCTAGCTGAATGTTCCTCCCAAGAACATGGCTTTCATATATATTTTTAACAAAAATATCTAAATTATGACCCGGACCATCATTGCATGAACTGACGTGGAATCACCCTCAAGCAAGTGCGCGCATTTGGAGGTGCGGGGCCAGAAGTGGTCCAGGACCAAGCATGAGGGAGAAGTCTTGTCACTTTTTTTTTCTAATATTTGTTTTATGTTTGCGTTTTAAATGATTATTCTTCCCCCCCCCCCCCTCCGTTTTAAGAGTATAATAAAGATAATTAAATGCAATTCCGTTTTTGTGCTGTTCCACGGGAGACGTCGTCGGTTTATGTGGTGGGACTTGTGGCGGCTGTGAGGTACTGTTAGCCTAATTTCTCGCGGGATAAAGCAGTTAGCGATACACTCTTTAAGGATGATAAAATATAAAGTAGAAAAAAAAAAGCTAGATAACTATTGATTGCTTCCCTGTTTTGTTCACGCTGGCCAAAGCATTTTTTGGTCGCACCAGCGCCGCACGCACTTCTCTTCGACGTCGTACTGCCGTCCTGCTGCACGCTTTCCGTGTTCCAGGGCGAAAGCCACAGCTTTCAGTTTACAACCAGCTGTGTAGCTGGTGAAGTGCTTGCCCTTTGCGGTCGACTTGCGGAGACTAAAGCTCGGCCAGAATAACTTTCGCGAATAGCGGCGCCGGCGGTGCTATCTCGTGGTTTTGGTTGTTGCGAAGCAGCCAATCAGCTGTGAGGAGGTCAGGATTAGAATGTGGAGAGAGCAAAAAGTGGAGACAGCCGCGCCGCCACGCCTCTCTGTGCTACGCACGCCAGGGGCACCATGGGAGCAGACGATGCGAGCAGGCGAGCAGCGAGGCCTGCTAGAAAGCTGGGGCCGTGAGTATCTATATATATATATATACATACAGTAGTGAACAAAACGATATGATATTGTGGTTTTACGTGGGTGACTTTTCTTCGAACTGTGATACAGATATAAAAATTGTTATGGAACTCTACATTAAGGTATTCATAGAGTAGAAACTGATGCTTATTTAAATATGAAACACTCAACTAGACGTCGAGCAATACTTGTGTAAAAGAAACGGAATATCATGTCTTTTTGTTCACAACTGTATATATATATATATATAGAGAGAGAGAGAGAGAGAGATAAGTAATGAAGTCGCACTTCGAAACGTCGTTGGAGTTCTAAAGCATATAGTGAGTCTACGTTTCGGCCTGAGATAAGCCTTCTTCAAGACTGGTTGCCAGAATCGGTTACAGAGTTGTTTTCGGTTTCCACACCCGGGCCACGTCACCTGTCAGAGCACGTGTAAGAATGCCCAAGTAAAAGAGTCCAAGTAAAAAAAAAACGCTCAAGCAAAAAAACGCTGCTGTACTCCCCCCCCCCCCCCCCCCCTCTCCACGCACGGCCGCAGCAGACGCCGCCAGCCATCGGAGCCAACCAAAGGCCACATCAGATTTCGTGACCCCAGGAACGTCACGTGCGGAAGGCGCAGTAACGTTCACAGAGTTAGATCGACCCAGATGGCCAGCAACGCACGCCGCGGAAGCGCGCAAAGCCAAACAAAGCACAGTAAAAAAAAAACAAGAAAAAAAGGGAGGAATGAAATAAGCGCACACAGTAAATAACGCCAAAACGCATAGAAAAAACCCCTGCATACAGAAAGACAAGGTGAAATAAGCGCACAGAGAAATCAACGCCAACGCGCATAGACAAATCCCCTGTATTAAAAAAAAAAAGACTGAAGAAAGCGCACACAGTAAATAGAGCAAACGCTCGGCCAAAGCGCATAAACAAATCTCCTGTAACAAAAAAAAAAAATCGTAAGTATAACAGTGTTAACCACAGTCCCAGAATATTCAACAAGGAGCAACAGGTGGAAGATGCCTGTTGAAGCTCATGACCCGTTGACTCATGGACAGGTTATAAAAAAAAAAGTTCACGGAAAAATTAAACGGTTCAACTAATGGGATTGAATTAGCTACAGTCACTCCGCTACGGGAGGCACTCACTTGATCGAATGACGTTTTAGCGAACGCCCACGTTTCATCGAACGACACTTTAGAGAATAGTCGGACGCCGCGAAGCGGCGTTTTAGGTTTGGCTAAGTGAGTTCATATTTTTGTAATGAGTTGCCGCAGACTGTCGCCGCGAAGCGGCGTAAAGCGCAGCGCGACGGATGGGTTAACGCGCGGCCCCGTTATTCGCTAAAACGACCATTCGCTCAAATGTCGCCGTTCGCTCAAATGTCATTCGCTCTTATGATATGGACCCCTCCGCTACAGAGCGATCAAGGTTGATTGCATGCATAGATGACATGCATTATACCTGGGTCTTCATTAATACCGGCCCGGATTGAATTAAATTTGTAAATAAGATACGATTCTCTCTGCTCGCGATAACGGTTGCTTTTGAAATGTGTGCGTATATATATATACCTTTTCTACGTGGGCGCCGCCATCTTCAATGCAGGAACTTCCGGTATGCGTAAAAACATCGCCTCAACGCTCCAACGCTTGCATTCCACTAATATTCAACGTCGCGTATGCGCATAAAGTTATATCATGCAATCATATAGGCACATTCGCACATACAGACCGGTTTAAGAAAGCAAAAGTCGAGCAGTTGTGTGAAGAATGTCGCACCGTTCGCCGGAAGCGCGCCGGACGGGCATGAACCCCTCTGCGGTGCGCCAAACGAACGAAATTATTCAAAGTGCATTTGACGGTTGCTAATGGCCATACTATATGGTATGTGTTTGCTTTCTTCCTGCCTGAGTATGCCGAGATAATTTCAGACACATCGTTCAGGCACAGATCTTAGGCGTCAGTAAAAGCTCGTACAAAAAGGCTTAGCGAGGAGTAGGGGACGCTTGTTAGGGCCTCCGTCGTAGCTAGCCAATCTCAGCGTTTGCGAACACTTAATCTTCTATCACCAAATTTAAGGGGGAGGTATATGATGACACGAGGAAGACATCGTAGTAAATTTTGTGGCGTAGTGAGGTCGAATTTATTGCGTTCATGCATCAACGCTGGTCTCAACTTTGCTACTCCTGAGTAGATGCGGCTTGCTTTTCGCCCAATGAAGTAACAAGAAGCGGACGTTTGGCGAACAAAATACGTCTAAGGCGCCAGATGACCACATTTCAGTTGTAGTTCACTGTTACTAGACGGGATCATTGAAATTGAACTCAAAGATGCAATCGTGGAGTGAGGCAATGGGTGAAGTGACTAAGCCACGTCTTAAAGGGATACTACAACGAAATTTCGGCGCTCATTTTTTGGTCTATATGTGTTCAAAGGAGCAGTATCACATCGAACATACCAATATCTTGTTAAAAAAGTCACGAAAATGATTTTTAAAACGAATTAAACGATTAGCAAAGAGCACCTAGTGGATGTCGCTAACGCCTCGCTTGTTATGCCCGTCTAGGAACCATGACAGCTAGTGACGGAGGTTGTCTCGCCTCCGGCCACGACGACAGAAGAGGAGAACGAGGAACTCCCCTCTTCTCGAGAATGCCTTTTGTGTGTCGCAGAAGTCGCTATTGTCCCCCTACAAGATTATAGAAGATTGACCCGTAACTCAAAATTCGTACAAAAGCAGCCGCTTCGGTGGCTGGAACGACTAGTCCATCCTCTCGACGTCAGCCTCGCCGTAGCTTTGCTCGTCTTGAGACGACCTACGTCACGATTGCGTTGGATGTCACGTGGTCTCCGCTGGGCCTTCTCCGAGCGCTTGCCAGAGTGGGCCGTTTACAACGAAAAATACAGCCACCAGGCTCAAAATAGAAACGTGCGATAGCCATTTACGGATATTGTGGATCATATTCAACCTATTTTTGAACACGACGGAAATATTTCAAATATTGTTGAAGAATCCCTTTAATACGTTTGCATACACACTCATAATATCCGGTGTTTCGGGAACGAAGGAAAGTGCCCGGTCTTCGTTTTGTATAGCTCGAGAATGAGTGTATTGTACGTTCGTAAAAAGTCAGACAATCGAAAACGCAAGCAGCGCGTTCGGTCGAGGCGCGATAGCATGAGATGAAGCTGCTCAGTCGAAACCGAAACTGAGTGGCCAACTAGTTCCCAGAGTGCACTGCGTGGTATTTCGCCGCGATGGGGCGCGTCGGTTTTGGAAGAGGTCCGTTGTCCATCCAGTCTAGCATGGTTTTCTCGCAGTCTCGCGTTTCGCGCCCTCGTCGTCTCGTGGCTCTCGTTTCGCATATTTTGTTAAGAAAATATTTTCAACGTCGGAGCGTCGGCAATATCTGCGGACGCTCCGATACCAGCCATGCCGTCAGACTGTGAAACGAAACCTCGTTTTTGTGCGGCGGGAGTTACTTTGTGAGCTGAAGCACTCGCCCCTGAAAGCAACGGCCGTGGGAAAAGTATATTTGGTCCCTGCCTTCCGGTCACCGTGGTCGCGCGACGTCGGGTGTTGCCATCCCCACGTAGCTGCAGATATAGCGCTTTCTAAAATAAAACCTTGTATCGCAACATGTTCATCAACATTCCTGTTCTTGTTTAATTCACACGTTACTACAGAAATCGCTCTTTAAGTATAAGCTAAAACAAAGAGGGTAATGTCTGCACGCGGAACCCGAACTGCGCGCTTGTTTCTCCCGGCTCCAGGCGTTGCGTAAAGCACTCCAAGAACTTTTTGTCCCTGGCTCGCGATGTTTTGCATCGATGCGCTCAGGTTCTTTTTTTGTGCGTGCGTGCGTGCGTGCGTGCGTGCGTGCGTGCGTGCGTGCGTGCGTGCGTGCGTGCGTGCGTGCGTGCGTGCGTGCGTGCGTGCGTGCGTGCGTGCGTGCGTGCGTGTGTGTGTGTGTGTGTGTGTGTGTGTGTGTGTGTGTGTGTGTGTGTGTGTGTGTGTGTGTGTGTGTGTGTGTGTGTGTGTGTGTGTGTGTGTGTGTGTGTGTGTGTGTGTGTGTGTTTAGCTGGTACCTTGTTTGCCGGCCTGGCAAGCACGCGCCGCTGGACTTTATTTGTCGTATGTTCGACAGTTACAGTTTGCATACAATTTTGGGAACCAGTTTGCGACGAAGCGGAGTGGCATTGTTTAGGTTTCGATCAAACAGCCGTTGTCCCAGCTTGCGCATCGAAGCACACGCAACTGCAAGCCTGCCGAAGTTGCCCTTACGTGCATGCGAACATGGTTTCACGAAAGAAGTACCAGCGGGGCCGCTTGCAATCCACTGTTTTATGT